TAGTTACTTTGTTTCCAGATATTGTACTGACTCTGTCAATCAAGCCTAGAAGTTTTTTGGTGGAATTTTCTGGGTCTTCTATAAAAAGTCCACGCACCCCGCGCGCGGGATGCCCAGGCCGCTGCCGGGGGCGAGGAAAAGTCGGGGTTGAAGGCGCCGGGGCCACCTTCCCTGAAGGTAACCGCCTCCTTACCTGAGGCCCTTCCCCGACCCTGCAGCCCAGCCCCTTCGCCCCTTTCCTCCCTCCCGTCGACCCTTTGATTCTAGGACGTCAGCCTTCGCCTGCCGCGTACTTCTCTGCACAAGGTCTAAATGCTGTGGTCTCTAACTGGAAACTTATTACAGCGACCAGTGAATGGCGTTCTTGCTGTTTTCTAAACAACCGTGTCACCAAACCCCAAACAATTGTTCCTTTCCTTCGCAAATCGGCGGGACTTAGCACTGTATTTTGCTGTTTGTGATCGTCTCCTCCCCACCCAGATGCGATTTACCTCGAAAATCTAAACTTGAATTAATCAGAACCGTGGAAGCTGAGACGCAAGGATCTAGAGTTCGAGGCCAGGCCATGAACTTGGCTAAACGGTCTCAATTTTCTTAAAAAGAGGCTGGAGGGCCGGGGATTTAGCTCAGTGGTTACAGCGTCTGCCTTGCAAGCACAAGGACCCGAGTTCGATCGCCGGTACCAAATTAAAAAAAAAAAAAAAAAAAGAGGCTGGATTATAGCTCATTGGGAGAGCATTCCTGGGTTCTATTCCCGGTACTGAAAGTTTATAATAATTTTTATGGCTGATTTGCTTACGTTGTGATATAAGGTGTAAAGATAAATTACAGGATATATATAAATACATTTTTTAATTCTAGGATTTCAGCACTGCGCCCAAATTATTCATAAAATCAAATATATCCTTTTACAATTTAGGCAATAATTAAAAGGATTCAAAAGTTCTTTACATTCTCTTAATATTTTTCTCTGGAGTGATATTAACAAGAAATTCTAGTCTCACATTTCTGGCAATCACACAATGTACCCAACGTAAGTGTTAGCAGAAATTAGTGGCTAAATTTCTTTCTGAGCCAACAGGCTCCTTCTGAAGTGGGCTGGCAAGGTCAAGGTATTGTACCGGTGTGAAAGCACTTTCTGGCTTTTAACCTCGAAGTTCACAGAAGCTTCAGAGTTTCTCAACCTTTTTTAACACTCTCCTCTCCTGACACACACACACACACACACACACACACACACACACACACACGTCAACATTGACAGGATTAAAGAAGTTCCGTAAAAATTCTTAAGTAGTGCTTCGAAAAGGAGAAGCCAGATGGAATGATTCTAGCTGCTTAAACTGTAAGGAAGGTGTGTGAACCACCAAGATTAAATCCGTGATTGACTGTATATTGGTCTGAGTTGGAATGAGAAATACCTGCCTTACATTGCTTGTGTGTTGGCTCCAAGTAAGAGCACAATATACATGTCCAACTTGCCCTTCCTGACAAACGATTTCTTTTCTGGGTAAGTTTGGTTGTTAACACATTTATGTATGGAACCCTCTCTATGAGATACATTATTTACCCCACTAGTTCTCCCTAGGAAATATCTGAATAAATATGTTATGGCGCACTTTAACCAGGAACAGCAATATATCTTTTGCAAATATGACACACTGAGCTGCATCTCCAGCCTGTCTATTCTTTTGTTCACTCATTCATTCATTCATTCATTGAATTCGTTCATTGTATAGTTCAGGAAGGCCTAGAACACATAATGTAGCCCAGCCTGGCCTCAAACTCCAGGCATTCCTCCTGCCTCAGGCTCCTCAGCGATGGGATTATAGGCTTGTGCCACCAGGCCTGGCTTCAGCCATTTTGTTTACTTAGTTATATTTTTGGAAACAGGGTGTTGTCAAATGGCTGAATTGTCCAAGCTGGCCTCAAGTTTGTGATTCTTCTCCCTCAGCCTCCTCTGGGATTACTGACATGCAGCAGGACAATAGCTTGACTTGCTTGGCTTTTGAAATTGGTAATAGGATAAAGTTTTCAAACAGATTCCTTTTCCTAACTAATCCTCAGAGTCTGCAAGTATCTTTTACTTTATATACATGGCAGAAGCCTAACAGTTTGATACATTTTGTTTGAGTTGATGAAAGGGTGATTGAGGTGTGAAAAAATCCCTTCCAAAATACTCTTTCACCTCTTTACGTTCCAGAGAACAAAATTTTCCTAAGAGACCTGTCTTGCAAGTGGGTAGGTGAGAGGAACTTGGAGGAAGGATCTGAATCCTTTCTTCAACTGTGCCTTATTATTTTGCTTTTTAGGGTAGATATGAACCAGAGAGATGTTGTATATGTGATACACAGAACTTGATTAATTAGGACAGCTTGAATTTCAAAGAACAAACCAAAATAAAGAATGTACTGGAGACACATCAGAGAACAAAAAGTCAAAAATCTATGATACACGCCTGCCTCACAAGCACAAAGTCCTGAGTTTGATCCCCAATACGAAACAAAAAACAAACAAAAAAAAGTCTATGATACAGTATGGCAAGAGAAAGAATGTAAGATAGGAAAATGTCAACATATATGTTAGATACTAAGGATACTAAAGTGTTTGGTGGTTAAGGAAAAGTAAGCCCACTCCATGGGTGCCTAACTAGTGAATGTACAGATGTGGTACAGACACAGGCTTTCACTGAGTGAAATGAGAAGATGCGGGAAAGCATTGTGTAGAAAGCTCACAGGCTCTCATAACACAGTGTTGCCAATACTGCAGTCCAGTGGTGCGCCTCTATACAACTAATCATAGAACACAACATTTTATTGTTACTGGTTGCATATCTTAACATTCTAAAAATACTCTAAAGGACTTCTATATTATAAATACTATAATACTGTAAATAAACTCAAAGACTTCTAAGAAATATAATAAACATAATAACTATGGTTATCTAGGTACTGCCTGACACTGTAAAAATGGGGTTGCTTGGGGAAAGAAGGGAAGAGAGGGCCAACTATAAAGTATCACCAACATATTAATGGTGGACAGAAAATGGAAACTGTGAAAATAGATTTTTTCATTCTGGAAACTTGTTTTATAAGCAGTCTCAAGACTATCTTAGCCAGGCATGGTGGTGCATGCCTGTAATCCCAGCACTAGGTAGACTGAGGCAGGAGGATCGCTGTGAGTTCAACACCACCTTGGGCTACATAGTGAGTTCCAGATCAGTCTTGACTACATAGTGAGACCCTGTCTCAAAAAAATAAATTAATTAAATTAAATTAAAAAATAAAGTCTATCTTCTTTAACAGCCACTGCTTAATCTGTGGGTGCAGATAAGAAGTCATACTCCATAAAATTGATATTTAAGCACAGAGAATCTGTGGTTGAGCTGATAGTTGCCATGGACCTAACACAGGAACACAGAGCTATCCAGTGTATCTGCCTGTTGTGTACCACAGGGTGAGTGTGTTTTAGGACCTGACAAAGATACATGCAACTCTTGTAACAGTAAGCAGCACAATTTATAGCAGCATAATTTCTAATAGCTAAATTTTGGAAACAGTCCAAATGCCCATCAATTGGTGATTGAATGAAGAAGATGTGTTTCAACCATAAAGAAAGACAGACAAGGACCAGGGATTTAGCTCAGCAGTACTGCTTCCTGCTTCACAAGCTCAAGGTCCTTGAGTATGATCCCCATACCAAAAAACAAAAAACAAAAAAGACAAATGAGACATTTATAGCTAAATGGGTGTACCTCCAGACCATACTCTAAAATGAAGTACATAGGACACGTGTAAATACCTAGTAGTTTCTCTGATGTGAGAAACAAAGTGTAAATGATGACCAATATGTACAATAGATATTGTAAAATAGGAAGAAAATGTACAATGGGGAAGGGGAACTAAGGGAGGACTGAAAAGGTGGGGAAGAAAAAAATGAAAACAGAAGGCAAAAACAGAAACAAAGCTTATGTAAATAGGGAGGGGTGGAGTTAAAAGGGAGGGGGAAACGGGGAAAAAATAAGAACCAAGATATATACAGGTACAAATTCCCAATACTGAATGTGATCACAATGTATACCTAAATTTAATGTACATTAAACTTAATTTTAAAAGTTAAAACAAGAATGTTACAATATCTAGAAATTTTTCTTCAACATTTCTTATATACTGAAGATCAGAATTTTTCATAAACCATAGTCAAGAATTTGTTCTGTGTATGCAACCTGAAAATGATTTTTATTTCAAATTATAAATTTATTCTGTTGTCTTTTGTTTCAGATATTATCCAAATATGGCAAACCTGTGAATAAGTATTCATATTACAAGATACTTGATATGATAAAAGAATCATACTATAGTTCAAATTTTAACCTACTACTTCTTTCTGTATAGACTATTTTAAGATTCTACATGCAATTTTCTTTTTTTAACTTGATATTATGGCTTTCCATGTACTGTACTATAGAGATACACGTATTTAAAAGTTTTTTGCTATTACTTTATCATTTGTTTTACAAATCTTCATAATTTTGTACCGTATTAGTAAAAAAGAAAGCTAATTGTGCTAATATAAAGTGTAAACACTTCATGAAGCAAATAGTTTGGTCTTTAAATGTACCAATAAACTTAATTTTAAAATATATTATCAGCTTAGCAAATAAAGACTATAGAAAGAATGCCTATGTCTTGTAAGGTGCTTTTAAACCATTCTCTACTTTCGTAGAAAGCTTAGATATCATTGGGAAGAAGAGAAACACACAAAAGTGGTAATGGATATTAGCAGTTAAAGCTGAGCATTGAGAAAGGATAAAAATAATTTGAGGCTCTTGTTTATTTGCCTATTTTAAATCAATCAATTAACTATATCATGGGCAAAAGAATGAAAGCAAAATACAATCATTCCTGTCTTGAACTAAAATACATTGTCATATATGTAAAATCTTGAACTAAAATACATTGTCATATATGTAAAATCCTATCTGAATCCCAAGAATTAGAGCCCTACTTACTTTTCTTCTTACCTTCCATAAGTAGATATTGAACAGTTAAAGTGTGTGAACACTTACTTTGAACATACTTTCTATTAGAAGTCATATAATGCTTCTGGGTGAAATTTTGAATAATCATCTTCAATCACAACGATAGTAATGCTGATGATAGAACACATAAATAAGC